ATCAGGAAGTGGGGGAATGGCTCACAAGGAAAAGCACATTTACTCTGGAAAGCATCACTTTGAGTTCAGCATTGTTTCCACTGAGGGGACCCTGGCCCAGTCCCTTGTCCTATCTCCCGCTGATGGCGACTCTTGCTTGTTCACTTGATTACGTTTGGAAAGAACTAAAAGACCAACATGGAGGGCACACCTGTGAGGTGTCTTTGCTTGATTCGAAGGAGGCAGATCCACTCCTAATATTCAATGTGAGGAGGAGCAATTTGGGAAGGACCTTGGGGGAGGAGGGGTTGCCATTTATACTTCCCTTCATGTAGGTTATCAAGGTTTAAAAGTGATAGGTTATTACACTTATTTTGCTCAGCAAATTTCTGCAACTGAACAATAGAATTCAAGAGGTCTTCCTGAGAACTGTCGATGATTCTCAGCAGTTACTAGATCCTGTAACCTTTGCAGCCACGTGGGGTCTTTTACTGCATATTCCAGGATTACTCACTGGAATACAAAGAGAAGACTCAAGAATGGCCTCTGAATGGTATACATGCAAACATCACACCAAACACATTAGCAGAAGTTAATACAGAGACGGGTGAATTGCACAGCAGTTTTACAAAATACAACTACTATAGATTATGTGTTACTCAAGCATAATCTTGGTTGTACTGTTTTAAAGTCAGATTGTCCCCCATACTACTAACAGTCAAATTAATGACCTACACAACTGAGATAGACAGATCTTTCCAGTGACTTTTGAGTTACCTTCCTAGTTACGATGACTTGGTCCTCTGCTAACTATGCTTATCATTCTCTTATGATTGCCTGTATTAAATTTACTAGCAATAAAGCAATCCATTCTCCTATGGCCTCTATTACGGCCACTGTTTTAATCTTTAAAACCTTAGAAAATGGGAGGTGTAAAGTCACTAGTCTTGTATGCACAGAGAAGCACTGAGAGAACCAAGAATGTTAATCGTACAGGGTGTCTTGTCAACAGAGGAGAGGAAATCAAATACCTCCAGAAATCTGAGAGTGCATTTTGGTAATGACCTAGTGAATATTTTGCTATCTGCAGCAACATACTTCACCATAATTCCCCAGGATAATTATTCCAGACTGTTTCCTCCCTATACCATTTTAAGGGAGATACCACATGCACTCTAAGGCCTACTGACCTCTATGCTATATTGTATAGGGACCACATTCGATTCTAGGTCTTTCTGAGATAGAACCCAACCTCATGTTTGCATGTGTTGTGCAAAACTTTTTCTCTGTATTCATATGTTAACCTTTATTATTTACTGGAATTCAAATGACTATGGGAATTACCATTGCCTGGAGGTCCTTTTCCTTTCCATATACTATATATACCTACAATAAACTGCCTGGTATTAGACTCACTAAGATTGACATAATCGACCTGCACTGGGTTTTCATTCTCATCTCTTCCTGTGTTCGATTCCTTGTCTGACACCTGCATGCATTGATATAGGACTACTCCAGCATTGGCAACTATGGCAGTAACAGCAGTAATTCTCAACATAAGGGCTATAAGTCATCAAACCATTCTTTTAGTCCTTTTCTTCATTTGACCCAAAATATGATGATGGAGAGACATTGAGAAAGACTCTTCCCTGGTCTGATACATCTGTACAGGCATCAAACACCAATTTGAGCTCAAAGTACATAAAAGCTCTAGAACTCAAAGTTATAGGAATACTAGCATTTAAAAATGTATATAAAGAAAAGCTGGAACAAGACATATATCCCTTAGATTGATTCAAAGTAGTTTCCCATGCAAAAACAAATAAAGAAGACAAACGCATGACATAATAGTATGACCCCACTTTTTTGTTTTTTACAAGAGGATATAGTCTCATTGTTAGGAGTCTTTTTCCATATAATCCCCTTTCGAAGCTAAATGTTATCCAATGCTGATACTATTTGGTAGATTCTATTGAGTAGCTCCTCCCTCTATATGAGGAGAGGAAAGGAACTTCCCATACCTCAGGCTCATTACTATGGATGGTGATGGCATCATTATTATTACTTCTTTGCTTTCCCATTTGGTGTGAGCAGAAGCTACATGGATCTAATCTGTGACACAGCCACAGGGAATATTAATAAGACCTTGGAACTCTGGTCCTCTACGTTGTTCCCAATGATCTATTCACTTAATGCTGAGACAAAAGGAGTGTCGCCAGGGGGAAAGTGAGGTGGAATGAAAAGATTGTTAGTCATATTCCCTTTAAACCCTTTAGCTACTGATGTGAATACGTTCTTCTCACTTCATTTGTTGTTACATTATGAATAACAGACAACTATCCCCTAGATGTTTCACACAATGAACTTCATGTTCAATACAGCAAGGAAGGGCTTCCATCCCTATATCATGAGATGAGATAAAATTTAAAAGCTCTTGGGAAACAAAGGATCTCTACTGTCATAGGGTCCTGGAATCCAATTTGAGTCATTAGTATAAACTGGAATACTGGGATCCCATCAATGCACTACTGGGGTCAAGGGAGGGTTAGGAATATAAGCCCAGCAAGAAAAAAACCTTTGCATTACTTACTTGAACAATAGTGATTGCTAACAGGGCCAAGAGCAAGATTCCAGGTGTTTTATTTCACCCACATAACAAACCATCTCTTCACTGTGGAAGGGAATGCTTTGCTCATTGTTTTGGGAGTCTGACCCACAGTCAGATGAGCTATGTGTTCAGGAGGCAAGTTAAGCTGTGCTCACTTGCTCATCTCTCAATTTCAGCAGTCTTTCTAAACTCTAACCATCACATGTACCTGTGCAAACATAAACACACCCTTTTCCCCATTTATAACATTTTTTTCCACTGTAAAGATTCTCCCCTTTATTTTTTTAATGTTTAATGAGAAGAAAGTCAGTAAACTAGATTGGAAATTCTACTTTGCCAGCCAGTATCATCTGTCACGGCCACCCAGCACAGGACACATCTGCATGTCAAGGGAACCAGTGGCTAGCTCAACTGGTAGCAAGAGGCAAAAGAAAATCACTCCTTGTTTCTTTGAGATCTACTCTGGTAAACAGGTCTGCGATGATGCCTAGAACTCTGGGTTCCCCAGCGTGAATACCCCTCGAGGCACAGACAATAGGATCCCTGAGGCTTCAGGTTGCCCAGATCTCTTCTTCAGCTTGCACCTCTCGCTTTAACACCAGTGCTAGTAGCTCAGGAGGGATGACTGACAGGCAGCAACTATGGCAGATGAGAGACTCCTTAGAACTGGAGTCACAGACAGCAGTGACAGTGCACAGTGCTCACCACAACTGACAGCAGTTTTGTGTGACCACTGTAACCAAACAGTTGCAGTAGGCCCATGAAGGCCACCGTGACGCCTGGGGCCCCCATAATAGTGCTCTCTCAAATATGCTGTAGTACAATGCCCTCAATATTTTCTCCAATAATAGACTGAAGAAGAATTTCAGCAGGCCTAAGATGGTCATCATTACAACTCAAAGAAGTTAAAGTAAATAACGAGTAGACTAGGATTTTCACAGAATTAAGCACTGCCTTACACCCTTTTAGTTTAATTAACACAGTTTAATATTCTGTTAGATCGTTCAATGATTGCCTGTCCTCGAGGAATATATGGGACATCAGTATTATGTTTATTATTTCAAAGTTGTAAACACTTGAAATTTTAATGACATATAAACTGGAACATTATCCACCTAATTTGTTGAAGACTACCCATGGCATTAAAAGTTTGATGAAGCCTTTTTTATTACTTAATAAAGTGGCCCATTGGAATGCTGAAAATAGATCAATCAATACAATGATGCATGTATCACAACCTATCAAAAACATCCTTTTATTTTTTTAAGACAGGGTTACTCTGTGTAGCTCTGGCTGTACTGGAACTCATGTTGTAGACCACGCTGGTCTTGAACTCAGAAATACACTGCGCCTGCCTCCCTAGTGCAAGGATTAAAGGTCTGGGTCACCACCACCACCACCACCACCACCAAGCTACCAAAACATTTTAATGTACATTACATCCATTTGCCATATCTCATTTTATACATGACCTTGGGGTAATGGGTAATGAAGGCCTATGAAAAGGCTGACAAGTTTCACAAAGTAATATTATTAATTTTGCCATTTTTTTGAGTTAAGGAAATTTTCATTTGAAGGCACTCCATTAAGCATGTGATTTTGTATGAAACTTAATAGCTTTAGGTAAAATAGTACCATAATGTAATTGATATGTACTGATTAATGAATCTATGAAGTGATTGACCTTGGCAGTAGTAGGACTGGAAGATTAAGTGCTATGATAAGTCATAAAATGCCATCTTCTGCTAAGTATACAGCAATAACTTCATAGATGTAGGCAGGGTGCAGGGTGTGGGGCCAGGGGCTACAGGCTCAACCCAAAGCTGGGAGTGGCTGAGGCCTTGAAGGGGATATGGGAAGAAAGACTGGAGGGCAGGCACAGTGGGGAGAGAGGGGGGAAATCATCAAGTTAGATGGAGCCAGTGCTGGAAGGGGAGAGGGAGGTCATGGTGGGCAGGGCCACAGCACAAGAAGAGGCAGCAGCAGACAGGGCAGGAACTGGGGAGAACCAGAGCAAGAGAGGTAAAGTAAGACTACTGGGCTTGGCTTCTTACTTGAGGTGAAGTAAGACTACTGGGCTTGACTTGTACTTGACATTTGGGGTGAAGTGTCTGTGAGAGCCAGACCTACCTAGAAATGCAAGAGCTTCACACAGGCTCTAGGGTGCATCCACAGCATCCCTGTCATACCACCTTCCTATTAACCTACACATATGACTTCTCCATACATACACACACAACACACACACAATGTCAGCCATGCTGACACAGGCATCATGGATGCCCCAAACATGTAAACGTACACACAGGCTACTCCCCACAAACACATATTTCTCACAGAACACACTCACATGTTTCTCAAAATGTATAGTTAGATCAGGGAGATGGGTCAGCACGATACCAACACCACTGACCTGAGTTTGCATCCCACTTGAGAAGAACCGAGTCTCAAGTTGTCCTCTCACTGCCACTCATGCACTGGGCATGCGCGCTCCACAGATGGAATGTTTGGTCAGAAACATCAGTCTATCACTCTTTGCCTCACAAGATTTCAAGACATGCACAGATACAGAGAAGTAATATGACAAAATAGTAATCACTATTTGGATCAGGATAGCCTTGAACTCTGCCTCTGCCTCAAAAATACTAGGTGTGAGGTGACATGCTCAACTAATTAAATGTTCTGAGCAAATTAAAGTATAGTAGAGAGATGTATGGCAATTTCCTGAAGAATGGAAAAAATAAAAATAAAAATGTCAGTAATTTTAAAATCTTTTAAACTGTTACAAATAGAAAACCTAATCACCACTTGGACTCCTACACCTGACTTCCAAGACAGGGAAGCTGAGGACACAGCAGGAGTGTTTGACAGAGACATGGACCAGCCAGAGGACTCAGGCTCTGAGGATGAGCTGGAGGGCAAGGGGTCAGTTAAACGAAGGCACAGACTAAGGGGGAGTTGAACCATTATGAATTTGGCATCAAACATAGCGAGAAATTTGAAATCACAGAAACTAGTGTGAACACAGGGCCAGGAAAAAAAAAATCAGACTAGATGTTTTGAGCTACTTTGGGTACTTGGTAAAGGGGGCTATGGAAAGGTTTTTCAAGTACAAAAATACTGGGAAGAAATTTGCCATGAAGATGCTTAAAATGACAATGATAATAAGAAATGCTAAAGATACAGCTCATATATAAAAGCAGAGTAGAATATTCTGGAGGTAGGAAAGCATCCCTTCATTGTGAATTTAATCTATGCCTTTCAGACCAGTGGAAAACTCTACCTCATCCTTGACTATCTCAGTGGACGAGAACTATTTACGCAGTTAGAAAAAGAGGGAATATTCATAAAAGACACAGCCTCCTTTTACTTGGCTGCAGTCTCCATGGCGTTGGGGAATTTACATCAAGATGGAATTATCTACAGAAACCTGAAGTTGGAGAACATCATGCTTAATCAACAAGGGCATGTGAAACTAACAGACTTTGGACTATGCAAAGAATCTATTCATGATGGAACAGTCACATGCACATTTTGTGGAACAATAGGATACATGGCCCCTGAAATCTTGATGAGAAGAGACCACAAACGTGCTGTGGATTGATGCAGTTTGGGAGTCTTAATGTACGACATGCTGACTGGAGCACCTCCACTCACTGGAGAGAACAGAAAGAAAACAATTGACAAAATCCTCAAATGTAAACTTAATTTGCCTCCCTAACTCACACAAGAAGCTTAAAAAGAAATGCTGCTTCTCTATTGGAGCTGGTCCTGGGGCTGCTGGAAAAGTCCCAGGGCATCCATTTTCAGACACAGTAACTGGGAAGAACTAGCTCAGGAGGTGGAGCCTCCCTTTAAGCCTCTGTTACAACCTGAAGAGGATGTGAGTCAGTTTGGTTCAATGTTTACAGGTCAGACACCTGCTGACAGCCCAATGACTCAACTCTCAGTGAAAGTGCCAACCAGGTCTTTCTGGGTTGTACACAGGTGGCTCCGGAGATCTGTACTTGAAAGTGTGAAAGGAAAGTTTTCCTTTGAACCGGAAACCTGATCACCTCTCAGATTTATTCATAGCCCACGAATGTCTATCAGGCCTGTCAGATTCTCTCCTGGAGATTCCTGGGGATGAGGTGCTTCAGCCAGCATGGCAAATGCTCAGACACTGTGGAATACCCAATGGAAACAGTGGGATAGAGCACACGGATGTGACAATGACTGAGAAGCATCAGCACCACTTCCTGTCCAACAGCTGAACTCTGAGCCATACAAAAACAAGCTTTTCCTATGATCATTTGTTCACTGATGCAAACAAACAAAAAACGGGGGAGGGGATGTGTGAGCATCCTGCAAGATAAAATGAGAATCAATATGGCAGTCTTGAAGAGTCAGTGCCATTACCTAGAATGCTTTTGATGGAGGAAAAATAAACATGGATTTTTGAAAAAAATCAATGGTGCAAAAGAACCAAATCCACAAAATCTCAAGCAAAATAGTATTATGGAACCCACAGACACATCGATTGACTGGTTTCTATATAGTGACATCTCAGCAAAGGTTTTCATGTTGAAGGCTCCAAACTGACAGTATTAAGGGTAGGATGCTGTCTCTGAATCACCATTGAAGCCTGAAGATGTCAGGGTTACCCTTTCATAGGCAAAGTATGAGATTGCTGTAAAACTTGTAACTAAGGACAAATTACCATGGAAGCTATGTCAAACTTTGTCCAGCATCACGGAATCAATGACAAAAGAATCTTATTGATTCGTGTTTTACATGCAAGCAACCTGAATCTTTTCCTTATTTAAATTTCTAATATGAACTGAGAGCTCGATGTGGTGGTGCATCCTTGAATCCCACCACAGGGAAGGATGAGGCAGGAGCATCACAAGATTAAAGCTTCGTGTGACTACTGACAATATTGACAAAAAAAATTGAGCAACTTAATCAGACCCTGCCTAAATTAACTTTTTGTTTAACCTCAGTAGACAGATGTTTGCCAAGCACTGAAGTGCTCTAGAACGGTACCCAGTATTCTCTACACCCAGAATGAAAACAGAGTAACTACAACCAATATACGCAGACAGGTGTCCGAAGAGAGTGTTATAACAGGCACCAGTTGGCTCAGTGAATAAAGGCACAAGCAACCAAGTCCGAGGGCCTGAGGTCAATACCCAAGAGAGAACCCACATCTCGAACTTGCCCTCTGACCTTCACACACGTGCTCCAGCATGTGTTTTCACACATCTCAGTGACTCAAAATCACAATTTTTAAAAAGAAAAGTGAAAACAAAAAGAAAAAAATGTACTAAAACTAAAACATCCAGCAATAACTGACCAAAACAGAATTCCAGAACACAGCCAGGATGGCAACAGGGGTCAAAACATTCACAGTTCACTTCCTACCAATTCATCAAGTTATCACTGCAGAGTTCCCTTAAGGTGAAATGGGAACAAATAGGTTTTCACAGCAATACTTATCTCCTAGGTACTTTCCTTTTGGTTAAGCAACTACCTCTACTCCAAATTAGCAAGGAAGAGCAAAAGACAGATAGAAAGCAAAGAAATTCATAAGGAAGATAGAATGCAGCATCTGTCAAGTCAGTCCTTAGCAGGATGCACCAAGGTCTGTCTCTGTGTCTCAGGCCTGCTCAGGCAATGCTTACACAGCATCCAGACTAAAGACTGAGTCTGCTCTATGGCTGTCAGCTCATTATAGAGCTCCTTTCTGTTGGGCATAGTCTATTGTGAGCACTTCTCACCTCTGAAAATATGTGATCATTAGAGTTCAACACACCATGGTTTCCATGCCACAGTTACCTTGAAACCTATGCCACAAAGAGACACAACAAACAGAATCAAAGACATTTTCCCCTTATGAACATAGATGCAAAACTTGTCAACAAAATACTCAAAAACCAAACCAAGAACACATCAAAAAGATCACCTACCCATGATGATCATGTAGTCTTCATTCAAGACATGCAGGGATGGGTCAAGATACAAAAATGTAATCCACCATATAAACAGTCAACATTATCACCACATTAGATGGAGGAAAGGCCTTCGACAAATTCCAACACCCCTTCTTGATAAAACTTCTACAGAGATAAGAGATACAAGGAACACACCTAATCAGAATGAAGCAATTTTCAACACTCATACAGCCAACCTCAACTTAAATGGAGAGGCCCTCATGGGGAGAGAGACCAGGAGACAGCCCCAAACCATCCAGGGCAGCATCTGCCTCTATCTAACCCTTGGCCCCTCCTCCACAGGGAGAGGTGAGTGCTAGGCCTTCTCCTGCCCAGCCCTTCCCTCACTGGAGGCCCTTGGCCAGGGCACATCCCCTCCATCCTGCCTGCAAAATCCCCAGAGACCTGGGGGCAGGCCCAAACCATCCAGCAGTACATCTGCCATCATTGGAGACTTGACCCACTGCTACCTCGAGAGAAAGCCCAGAGACCTGGGGGCACCCTCCTCACACCACAAAACATTCAGCCCTGCATCTCCCACCATTGAAGCCTTGGCCCTACCCAACTGGGAGAGGAATATCAGTCACCTAAGCCACAAGCCCCACCTACAGCAACTGTAGGAAAAGAGATCCCCTGGATCACAGGAACCACCTGCACTCACTGGAGGAAGAGATGGGTAGATGACAGTATAAGAACACATTCAACAACATAAAGAGTAATATGACAACAACAGAGGCACTAAGGGTTCCACATCAGCAAGACTTGAACATCCCAACGCAAATGAAGCCCATGAAAACTACCATTAAAAAAAGTATGAAGATGACAGAGGCCCTTAAAGAGGAAGAAATGAGAAACTCAACTCCCTTAAGGAATGGAAGAAAAGACAACCAAAAAATGCAAGACATCAACAACTCTCTTAAAGAAAGCAAGGAAAGCCAAGAAAAAAACAATCAAACAGGGGAAGGAAACAAACAGTTCAAGACCTGAAAACTGAAATAGAGGCAATAAAGAAAATACAAACAAGCCAGACGGTGGTGGCGCACGCCTTTAATCCCAGCACTCAGGAGTCAGAGGCAGGCGGATCTCTGAGTTCAAGGCCGGGCTGGACTGACAGCCTCCAAAACAATACAGAGAAACCCTGCCTCGTAAAACCAAAAAAAAAAAAAAAGGAAAGAAAAAAGAAAACACAAACTGGGAACGCTGGCAATAGAAAATTTGGGTAAACAATCAGGAACTACAGATACAAGCATACCCAACAGAATATAAGAGGTGGGAGAGAGAATCTCAGGTATTGAAGATACACCAGAAAAAATAGATTCATCAACCAAAAAATGTTTAGTCCAACAATTCCTTAACACAAAACATTCATGGGACACTGAGAAAAGACAAAACCTAAGAATAATAGGTATAGAAGATGAAAAGAAGTCCAGAAGGTACAGGAAACAAATTCAACAAAATCATAGAAGAAAACTTTCCCAACCTAAAGAAGAACATGCCTATGAAATTACAAGAAGCTTACAGAACACCAAATACAGTGAACCAAAAAAAAAAAAAAGTCCTCTCGACATACGATAATCAAAATACCAAACATACAGAATAAAAAAAAGGGTATTAAAAGCTGCAAAGGAAGCCGGGCGTTGGTGGCGCACGCCTTTAATCCCAGCACTTGGGAGGCAGAGGCAGGAGGATCTCTGTGAGTTCAAGGCCAGCCTGGTCTACAAAGTGAGTTCCAGGACAGCCTCCAAAGCCACAGAGAAACCCTGTCTCAAAAAACCAAAAAAAAAAAAAAAAAAAAAAAAAGAGCTGCGAAGGAAAATGACCAAGTAACATACAAAGGCAGACCTATCAGAATTACATCTGACTTTTCAATGGAAACTCTGAAAGCCAGAAGGTTCTGGACAGATATTCTACAGACACCAAGAGACCGTGGATGCCAGACCAGACTACTATACCCAGCAAAGCTTTTGATCTCTATAGATGGGAGAAAACCAGATATTCCATGACAAAACCAGATTTAAGCATTGCATATCCACAAATCCAAACCTAAACCTACAGAAAGTACTGGGAGGAAAACTCCAACCCAAGGAAATTAGTTACACTCACAAAAACATAGACAATAGATAATTCCCCCTTACCAAAAGCCAAAAGGGGGAGAGGGGGGACTCACACACAATACCGCCAACTACAACTAATCCAAAAACAAGAATCAACAATCAATGGTCATCAACATCCCTCAATATCAATGGTCTTGACTTGCCTATTAAAAGGCACAGGCTAACAGAATGGATACAAAGATTCCATCCTTCTGCTGCATATAAGAAACTCACCTCACTTCAAAGATAGACAGTACTTCAGAATAAAGGGCTGGGAAAAGATTTCCCAATCAAATGGACCTAAGAAACAAGCTGGTATAGCTATGGTAATACCTAACAAAGTAGACTTCAAATTAAAATTAATCAAAAGTGATGAAGAAGGTCACTTCACATTCCTCTCAGGAAAAATCCATCAGATGAAGTCTCAATTCTGAACATCTATGCCCCAAATACAAAGGCATCCACATCGGTAAAGGAAACATTATTAAAACTTAGATAACACATAAAACCACACACACACACACACACTTACAGAGGAAG